GCGCCTGCTCCGCCCGGCCCCGCTCCTGCCCGCCGGCTCCCACGAGCCTGGACGGCGCCTGGAAAGTTTAGCTACCCTTTAAACAAACTCTCAAGCCTTTCAAGCTTTTGATAACGCACTATGTGATGATGATGATGATTTCTCTTACTGTAAAAGGAAGTTTGCTACCAAGAAAAAGGTATTTTTATGAAGCAGAAGAAGTAAGAAAGCGTATAAGAGGCACTGATGCTCCCTGAAAGATACTTTAAAATATTCTAAGGGTGAGGGGAAGCGGTAGAAAGAAACCTATTTTGAAATAATAGACACATTTTTGTATGGTTTTCTTTTTTAAAGCTCTTGGTTTGTACTGGGAGGGCGCAGCAGCCCGCCCCGACCCCCTCGGCGGCAGGCCGGCCAGGGTTGTCCCGGGGGGCGCGGGGCGGGTGGGCAGGGAGATAATTCACAGAGGCTTAGCAGAGCCCTTACGACCAACTCCGAAGATGTGGCAAATATGCAAGGTGGACGGGCATGTAATAAGCAGTTCAAGGTCGGAGCTGCTCTATCCAGCTGATCCGAGCCAGGCAGCGACAGCGCTGAGCATGTGAGCCGCGGTTTGCAAGCACAGCCCCCTCCCCCGTGCACACACGCGTGCACACGCACGCACGCGCACACACACAGCCAGGCGAGTTCCCCTGGCACCAAGCTGCGGCTCAGGGCAGCGCGTTTGACCCGTGCTCTTTTTACAACACGTTGTGAGTTCAATTTGCTAAGTTACTTATTAGGACCAGTTCGCTTCAGCCAACAGTGACTTAAGCACAATCTGCCGAGGGGGTGGGGAACAGCAACGACTCACTGGACACGTAATTAATCCGCAGTCCCAATTGTGTCTGATTTGCCAAAAAAAGAGAAGAACCCCAACAACAAACAAACCAGTGTGATACTGCTCTGATGTGTATATATTGTACAGTAGGGGAGAGAATAAATGTATCTTACTTTGTCATTATTTTGCTAACCAAAGCTGTACATTTTTCCTATGACTTGCTCTCAGTCTTCTTGGGTTTTGAATGGGTTCGACACTTCCCCACAGTCCACATCAGCAGTTTGGAAAATGCACTGTTTCTACTGGTATTCATGCTTTTTCCATTTTATTGCTCAAATTACATGAATTGTTGAGTTTATTTTTACACAATAAAGAGTGAAGAAAGACACTGGGCTCTCTCTGTCTCTCTTTATCCTGCTGTAACTGCTACCCCATCCCACTAGCCCGCGGCCAGGTTCACCGTTAGGACAGCGAGCAGCAGTCATGGGGGGAAAGGGGGGCATTTGCTGCTTCTAACGAGGGGTTTCAGCTCCGAGGACCCCTGGGAAAGAGCTCCCTTGGGTCTGGAGCCCGAGCCACAGCCAGCCGCGTGTACCGAGCACATCTATTTGCAGGTCCTATTTAACCCTTCCTGGTCCCTTCGAAAGCTTTCTTCCTCTCACCATTTCAGGTCACAATGTCACGACACAAAAGTCGCAGAAAACCTCTCTGGAGATTTCTTCATCAAGAATGAGCACCATTTGGAGCAGACCCTCCTCAGTTGCCCCTGGCCTGATCAACACGCTTGTGAGTGTGAGTGCAGTGACACACCGCAGGGGGCTGTTCCCTTCCCTGTCATTGCACCGAGCTACCAATCCCTCTGGGATGCTCCTAGCCCCTCTCACAAGCGCCTCCATAAAGCAGAAAGGACAATGAAACCCCCCTCTTCCTTCTCTGCTGGCTAAAACAGGTCTTGGTGCATTGTTCTTTAAATGCAATTCAGTTATGAATGCAAGAGTAAGAGCCACATGGCATTGCTACTGAGGCAGACGTTGGCCAGGGAGAGAGGATTTTGCAGCCAGCTCGGGTAGGCGAGAGGTTGGTCGCCGTCCGTATGGAATCTGACAGTGAGCGCGGGCAGCAAGAACATTACACATTCGGTCTGTGAAATGCCATCGGTTTGCACATTGCCAGGTTCTGTTATGGCTAGATAAATGCTACAAGTTCCCACAGCAATAATTAATTGCTTTTAACATCTGGATTCTGGAAAACCTGAAGTGTTTACGCTCCACAGCTGTGCACACATTGCACCTGTAATTCCCAGTCCAGTCCCCTCCAGCTGGGTGGGAAACCTGGACAAGCGCAAGCCCTGTACTACACTTTCTGCTCAGGCCAGGACTGGAGGGAGCCCACGCAGGCCCTGGGAGGCTGCCCTACCATGCTCGGCGGGGAGGAGGGTGGCTCTGCGGAGCAAGGCCCAGCAGCGATGCTTGCTAAAGGGGAACTCGCCAGTCCCCTGCGTGAGCAGAGCAGGGAAGATTTAAAGAAATGGGGGGAAGGGTGCAAGCACTACATCCTGACATGCCAGTGATCGCCGCTTCAAAGAGAACCGAGGCAGAGGAGGGGCGCCCAGGAGAAAATGGCAAGTCACATAGCGAGGTCTAGAGGCAAGCTCATAGTTTTAAGTCTTTGGAGTATTACTGAGCCTCCCAGCCTACTCCGTACCTGATCCAATCTAGCCAGGGCTCCGGAGAGACCACATCGACGTCCACTTTGTGGCCTTTGCTAATGACATCCCTAACTGTTTGCCTTCCATCTCCCTCATCTGCTCCTGCCTCGTGGTTGTCAGGGAAACAGCCTCCTTGGAGCCATGCTTGCATCCATCCAGTGCATGTGACCTGACCATAAAAGCCTTTTCTCCCCAGGAGAGTTGGATACCTTGATCAGTCCTGTTCCTTTTCGAGCCGTCTCAAGTAAAAGGGGGTGTGCGTGTGTACATACCTGCGCGTGCATGTGTGTGTAGGGGTGTAGTGCCGGTGGTGGGGAGAAATGCCCGAAATGGATTTGCCGGTTTGATTTCACTGCCCACAAACCAGGGAAGCCATGCATATTCCTAGCTGCAGCATCAGTCTACATGAAGCAGTGAAGGCCTGAAGCAGGTGCAGCCAGCCATGGCTGGGAACAGCTGCAGAATCAGATCGCAAACATTTGGTACCCTTGGCAGGGAATGGGCAGCCTTAAACATCCTCCAGTGGCGAGGATGAAATGATACAGCAGCGCTGCTCTACGGTAATTTGCTGAGCCCTCCCAGGGGACAGGCAGGGAGAGCGACATGCTATTTAACCGTGACTCTTCCGGGTGATTAAAGAGGGGATGCAGATGGGCTGCCAAGGGAGCCTCATGCAGGATGCACGAATGAGCAGGGTGCAGAGGAGGCGGCAGTGAATCAGGGCTCAAGGGGCGCACGCACAGGCACCGTCTCTGGCAGACGGGTTGCTGTTCCCCACACGTGTGCTCTGCCGAGGTGGGGCCGAGCCCCGCCCCAGTCACCACGTACCCAGGAACTACAAGGATGTTTGCAAATGGAAACTTCACTTTCTTTCATAACACCTCAGTGCCAACCCCTGGCTGCTTTTTCTTGCTGCACTGCCCAGTGTCTTAGCAATGGAAGTGCTATTTTTATTTAAACAGACTTTGTAGCAGATTCTGCATTGCTCTCGGAGTCTCTGCTGCCATCCCCGGGACACGGCCTGGCTCGGATCAAATGGCAATCCCGACCGAAAGGGAAGGCCATTCCAGCACTCCAGACGGTGGGAAATAAGTGCCCCATGCCCACCCTCCGGGTCTGAAAAGACCTGTCACACAGCACTGACAGTCTCCATCGCACAGCAGTCCAACATGGGAACCAGGTACTTGTTCCACCAGCAGCTGGAAAACACCGTCATGATTAAAATGACCCAACTTTGCCACCCGTGGAATAACAAGCAGTGCCAGGGCTCAGGGTTAAAGTAGCCTGGAAGGGCCGTGCTGTGCATGGACCTGGGGCTGTAGGACGGAGATGGAGAGAGACAAGGCTGCAGCACAGGCCCAGAGAAGCTGTGGTTCTGCAAGGCAGGATGGAGGGGCATTGGCTCAGCCCCCTGGGTGACTCCCACTTGACCCCACTCGTAGTGCCCAGCTCCCAGCCGGCCGGTGGCCAGACTTGCCTCGCGCTGCACTGTCCTGGCCTTGGCTGGAGAACAGCTTTCCTGGAATAAAGCTGATTGCTCCAGCCGGCTGCAGGGGCCCTCAGATAATACATCTGCTAGGCCCAGGGCTGCAAAGCCAGGGGGGATGAGACTGGGGAAGAGGGAGCTGCCTGCCCTTCCTAGACCTGTGCCGAGGTCCTTTGCCCAGGTCCAGACTGGGACGGGGGAGGAGGAAATGTCTGTCTCGCTCCATGGAGAAAACGAATGCAGAGCATAGGTAGGCTTTATGCAAATCTGCATGCAAATCAGGCTAGGAAGGCTTCGGCAGGACTACAGCTGCTACTGTCGGTGGGAAGTAATGAGCACCAGAGAAACTGCTCAGCAGGGACTTCTGCAATGAGATCTGCCGGAGGAAAACCCGTAAAAGACCTCCCAGCTGTCAGCAAACAGGCGCTAGCTCAAATCCCCCCGGCTTCGGGAGGCCGGGAAGAGGAATCTGATGAGGCCGGTGGGCTGCGGCTCAGCCCCTGCACTTGCTGCGTTCAACGCACTACCTGTGCCGGAGCAACAGCCAGTGGCATCCCGGGCATCCGGCTCCTTCGCCCTGCCATGAGGGTTTCCCCGCTTCCAGCCCCTGTCCCCGTTCAATGGTTACATCAAAGCCACCTGGGCCACGAAATGGGCTAAGCCATTGAGTTGGATGCAATGAGAGCCCAGGGGTGGGTCTCAGCTTCTCCGTGCCCCTCGCCTTGCACTTTCATGCCCAGACCCCCTCAGCACCGGGGCGGTTCAGACTTCCTGCACCCCGAGGGAGCCGGGCCGAGACGGTGGGTGTGCACAGCTCCCCATGAACACCCCTGGGCTGCACAGCTGCTGCCGCAGCCCCGGGCTCCTCTGCTGCCCACGTGGCCAGCAGGCACTGCTGCATCAGAGGTGCCCAGCTCGGGTGTTTGCTGCCAGAGGGCTGGGGCCAGAGGAAACTTCACCTGGCTCAGGGATGGAGATGCCCAAAGAGAAAGGATAGATCTCAAGCCTGGCAGCTTTCTGGGCAGCCCTGCTCCTTTGCCCTCCCCACAGCCTGTGCCCCACACGTGCCTTCAGAGGCAGGCCCTGCATGGGGCACCGAGACCAGGCCTGCCCCAGTGTCCAGAGGCAGCCACCTCCCACGGCAGCACCAGACAGGTGGAGGGAAGCCCCCTCCAGCGGAGACGGCTGCATCCCTGAGGCTCATCGATAGGGGAAGAGGAGCACCAGCCCCTCTCTTGGCCCAGCCCCGAGGAAGCACAGCTCCAGGCTAAAGCCTTTTCGATGGTGTAGCTGAACCTGCCCAGGCAAAGACCCGCTCCAAGAGGGACACAAACAAGAGGGGATGCTGCCCTTGCCAGCTCTGATGACATTAAATCCAGGAGCCGTTTAAAGCGACAGAGCAGATGGAGGTCCAGGGCTGAGCAAGGACAGGATCTGGACTTGTGGGGGGATGCTGAGGGGGGCGAGAGGAGTGTCCTTAAAGGCAGGATGCAGCTGGGATTTGTCACCCTGATCCGACTTCTTGTTGGCAACTTGCATGGAAAAAACACAGAGCAGACGTGCCCCCTAAGGTTGCTTCTATTGATAGATCCAGTGAGCCGGGAGGGGAGAGAAACGTTATTAGTCACGTTTTATTTGCAAGGTCTCCCACGGCAGGAGGACTGGGCCAGTCCCACTCCCCTGAGCTGCAGCCCGGGGTCCTGTTCACCACCAAGCAGGCAGGACCCAGAAGGTCAAGGTCCAGCACACGCGTGTGCACAAAGGTCAACTTGCCCCAGTACTGGCCTCTGCCAATGCCCCACAGCGTTGCCCTGCGCCTGGCACGCAAGGCCGGTGCAGCTCCACTGACCCGTGCAATGCGTCGCTTGCTGCAAGCCTGGCCACGCTCGGAGCACACGGCAAGACGGGAGCCGTGTTAAACAGAGTCCGCAGCCGGGACAGAGACAAGCCGATTCCCGTGGGCAGCGATGGGCGAGACCGGACCTGCTCTGGCTGCCTGCCACGCAGGATGGCAGGTGCGCTGGCAGTGCGCATGCGCCGGCAATGCTTTGCCTTTTGTCTGGCTGGGGTGAGCCACAGCAAGGGGAGTTAAATGCCCTTTCCCCATGAGCTCAGCTCCTAACTGACCCCTGGGAGCCAGCAGTGTTGGCATCACAACGCGAAGTTCCCGGCGCAGCAGGGCTGAGAGGAGTCCAGCCAGTGAACAC